ATCACCACTAGCATTGGCACACATCAACAGAGTAAGCTGTCTTTCATAGTGCCTTTTCCTCCTGAGTAATGTAGGTCCTGCTTGGCATTTTCTTCCAAAACAGGCCTGTTTCAGTCCTTCACTATGTACTCCTTGAATTCCTGCACATATTTTTCAGCCGCTTTCTCATGCCTTATCACACTATGTATGCCACTACGATTCTTAAATCTTTCAAACCAACCTTTGCTGGCCTTAAATTCACTAACATCATCACTAGTTGCAGGCATTTTTCTAATTAAATCGTCATGCAACTTCCTAGCCTTTTCACATATGATCGCTTGATAGATGCTATCACATGCTATCTCCTGCTATCTGTTTTTCATTTATCCACACCAATAACAGTCTCTCAACATCTTCTATCACTTGCGATCTCTGTTTCGAAAACAAAGTTGCACCTTTGGCAAGAACAGCTTCCTTGATTGCCATTTTCTTGGCCACAATAATAGTGATGGTTGATTGGAGTTTTGTGTACAACCTGGCCAGCTCGGAGACACGCACTCTACTTTCATACTTATCAATGATCTCTTTCTATATATCCATAGTAATTCTCATTCTTTTTGCTGTAGGGTTGGCACTAGAAGCTTTCTTGGGGCCCATGGTGACTTATTTTACAGGTGCAATCACTAAAAAGGCTGTGATAATATGAAATGTTCCGATTGTATGCTTGGAAGCGACCGCGGTGGCTGGCTTGTAAACACTGGCACCCACGGAACAAGTGAGGCGGGCTCAGGCCGCACGTGGACGCGTCTCGAATGAATCGCGTTGAGCGAGTTTTTTAGCGCTAGCCGAGGCAAAATTTTTGCATTAAAATGTATCGCTAGGTGGATTTAACGTTATGCAATGCGTTCGTTAGGCGAGGGTCCACTGTATTTACAAACCTCCACCTTGACTACCTTGCATTAGTGCTAAGATAAAATAAAGATTTATTAAAAAGTTAACCACTCTTATCTTGTCTAGACTTAAGTAGTTATTATGTGCTAGGATTAGTGTGCCCTATCATGGCATGATAGTGGCTTTCTTTGTACCTGACAAATCAGAATTGTAAATACATGTTGTAACCTTTGCAAAGAAATAAAATCTTTATTCTTTACCAATAAGTCCAACAAACTATTGTCATTATGCCCTATATCATATCTTGTATGCTTATTTATCCTCTTTTTCTTAAAATATTTATTACCTATAACCAAACCCCTTTCTATACAAAGTTCAGTCAGAGGCTTCCCATTATCATTTACACCTGGCACCCCAAACTTACCTACCACACCCTCTCTAAATATTTCTCCTACTCTAGCATTTAGGTCCCCTACCACAATTACTCACTTAGTTCAAAAGTTCCTACACGCTTGCTTAAGATCTCCCAATTTCTCTCTCTCTCCTCTGCACTCCTTTTTTCTCCAGGTGCATACATACCTACTATAACCCACTTTTCACATCCGACTCTTTATTTTAATCCACATAATCCTTGAATTTATACATTTATATTCCCTCTTCTCTTTCCATAACTGATCCTTCACCATTATTGCTACCCCTTCCTTAACTCTAACTCTCTCAGATACTCCTGACTTAATCCCATTTATTTCTCCCCACTGAAACTCCCCTACCCCCTTCAGCTCTGTTTTGCTTACAGCAAGGACACCCAACTTTTTTTTATTCATAACATTAGCAATCATTTCTTTCTTGCAATCCGCACTACATCCATGCACATTCAAACATCCCAGTTTTATGTAGTTTTTCTTTTTCTCGTTTTTAGTAGTTTATACAGAAGGGGTTACTAGCCCATTGCTCCTGGCATTTTAGTCGCCTTCTATGAGGTGACTAAATATATGATTATTTGTAGCTACAACAGCAAAGCTAAAGCTTGCTGTATTCCATCTTCAGCACCCAGTCTGTCATAAAGATTTTTAAAGTTTCCAATCAAACAAAGTTTATTTCTTTGCAAGGTTACATTGAGATTATGAAATTACAATAATGGGGTACAGTGCAAAGAGAGCCACTATCATGCCTGGGCATTATGGGCAGACTTAATTTAATGGCTTACATACTACTTAATACTAAAGAAATTGATCATAGTTTAAGTTATTCATCATCTTTGTTTATAGCAGACAGTAGTTTTACTCTAATTACAATAGTTTCAATAATGAATATTGAAATTAAATATACAGGGGACCCCCACCCTACGATGGCATCGCGTTACGTTAAATCCGCCATACGATACATTTGAACGCAAAAATTTTGCCTCGCCTCACGCGATTCATCCGGGACGCATCCCACTTGTGGCCTCAGCACCAGTGTTTACAAGCCAGCCAGTGCGGTCACATCCACGCATACATTCGGTATATTTCACCTTATCCCAGTGTTTTTTGTGCTTGTAACTGCAAAATAAGTCACCATGGGCCCCAAGAAAGCTTCTAGTGCCAACCCTGTGGTAAAAAGGGTGAGAATTAGTATGGAAATTAAGAAAGATTTTGAAGGGTTTGGGGCTAACCCTGAGAAGCCTATGCCAGTTGTCGAATCCATTGTGCCTACTTCAAAGATTAAGGAAATGTGCGCAAAGTGGGTTGAACTGCAAACCTTTATGGATGAAAAGCACCCTAACACAGCTATTGCAAGCTGTGCTGGTGACTATTACAATGACAATGTTGTGGCCCATTTTAGGCAAATCTTAAAGGAACGGGAGGTAAAGACCTCTACGGACAGATTTTGTTGTGCGACAGAGGTCCAGTGAATCTCAAGCTGGTCCTAGTGGCATTAAAAGAAGGGAAGTAACACCAAAAAAGGACTTGCTACCTCAAGTCTTAATGGAAGGGGATTCCCTTCTAAATAACTTACACACTCTCCCCTCCTCCCATCCCATCAGATCTTCAATAAAGGTAAGTGTCATGTATTCTCTTCTTAGCAGAGTAGTAATTGTGCATGTCTTCTTCAGTTTGTGTATTAAAATTAATATTTCATGTAAAATTTTTTTTTCATACTTTGGGGTGTCTTGCATGGATTAATTTGATTTCCATTATTTCTTATGGGAAAAATTCATTCGCCTTACGATAATTTTGGCTTACGATGAGCTCTCAGGAATGGATTAATATCATAAGGCTTGCCACTGTATAACATTGTGAGTTGTTGAAGTAGCATTTAAACCCTTCAGTTATTCTATCAGTGCAGAAAAAATCTTTTTAGTATTCTTTTAGCAGCTCATCTTCCTTGACCTATGATTATGGCCTCTTGTTCTGCCATTTAACTCTTTCACTGTCTCACATAATCTACATTTTGATTTCTCTCTCAACACACCGGCCGTATCCCAACGAGGCGGGGTGGCCCAAAAGGAAAAAGGAAAGTTTCTCCTTTTACATTTAGTAATATATACAGGAGAAGGGGTTACTAGCCCCTTGCTTCCGGCATTTTAGTCGCCTCTTACAACATGCATGGCTTACGGAGGAAGAATTCTGTTCCACTTCTCCATGGAGGTAAGAGGAAATAAACAAGAACTAGAAAGAAAATAGAAGAAAGCCCAGAGGGGTGTGTGTATATATATGCTTGTACATGTATGTGTAGTGTGACCTAAGTGCAAGTAGTAGTAGCAAGATGTACCTGAAATCTTGCATGTTTATGAGACAGACAAAAGACACCAGCAATCCTACCATCATGTAAAACAATTACAGGCTTTCGTTGTACACTCACTTGGCAGGACGGTAGTACCTCCCTGGGCGGTTGCTGTTTACCAACCTACTACCTAGGACATTTTGATTTCAGCTCCCTCAAATGGGCTGTGAGTGTACGCAGTATAAAAAAAAAAATAAGTCTTGCCTTACACAGTACAAGATGGGAAAAGCAGATCTCTGACCTTCTTTGGTTTAAAATAGCAAATTTGAGGTGTTTTCTAGGATGGTGTTTATAAAGAATAAAGAGGCACAATACACAAATAACTCACATGTAGGAGACTATGGTGACATGTGGACAGTTGTACTGTTATGTCATGTTTTGAAGGGTTGTAAAGTGTAGCAACATATGGTGGAAGCAGGCTCTACACATCATGCCCTGTATAGTCCTTGTGGCTTAGCGCTTCTTTTTTGATTATAATAATAATACACATCATGCCATCACATTCTACAGCCTTTCACTGCTTGTCACCATACAAAATGCTAATACACTAATTAACCAGCCAAAGCTTACCACATCACCCTCCATATCACATCAGTCCACCAGACATGCAAATTGTCTGTACAACTTTACGATCTATGCATGTGAGCTTAGTGTGTTTATAGGCAGCAATACTGACAAATTGAATGTTCTTACTAGTTTCACTGAGTCTCTAGTCTAGAGGGCTAGGGAAAGCAGTAAAGTTTATGTATGATACATACACTGATAGCATTTTTCAAGGTTCTTTATAAAATTAGTTACTTCTAATAATGCAAAGGTGTATCGTACATATGATGGAAAATAAAGCTCACGAGGCATGAGAGGCAATGAGGCTTGAGCCAAGGAAGGAGAAGGTATCTCCAGTTCCTTGTATCAAAAGTTCTTCATCACTGGCATTAAAGTAACCTCCCCTTCCCTTGAAGGGCCATTTATATTAAACCCGACTTAAAAATAAGCAAAATATTCAATTATACACTATTGAGATCAAGCTCCCTTTTTCTATACAAATGCAAGTTGTCCCCCCCTCATCAGTCACAGATATGGCTGCCAGTGAGGGGTTATTGATACAAAGCATTATCTCTGTATTCTCTTGGATTGAACATGATTACATCCTGTTTCCCCAGGCACTGTGTGACTTCTATAGGTTTAGCATTTCCCCTTGAATATTATAGTCATGAATTTGGTAGGAATGCAACAAATATGTTATACTACCTCTGTAGCCTTGAGCAGCAGCACTGTACAACCAGTGCTAGCTGAATGCTTATTGTTAATATAGTAAGTAACAAATAAATTATTTCTGTGTATAATTTTATTTTTATTTTTCTCAGGTAAATGAAACCAGAACACATGACTTCGACTGCTGCCTTACTGTGCCTCTGATGGCTGCAGCAGGAGACCACTTGTTGCTGGTAGTGTCTAGAAACCCCCATGCCAATCCCACATTAGACTTCTCCTCTGATATACATTCACCTACGTGGCATGATATTGAAGAGGGTGAGGAAGATGAAGCAGCAGAAGAAAAAGAACTTGGAGACAGAGATTTGGAGTCTTATTCTTTGCCCACACCCTCCTTTACACCAATACCCACTATCCTGAAGACACTCTAAATACATGAATAGTTGCAATTAAATGGTATTTAGTTTCATTATTATTACATTCAAGGGAAACAAGCATTGAACCCATAGGAGTCTTGGTGCCTTGGGAAAGGGACAGCAATCAAATTCTATCCAAGGAAAGGATGCTGGTGAGGGGCTCTTGATCTAGGGAATTGGATCTGTGCTCTGGTTCCATGAATTGGGCCTGAATACCTTCCATTCCCCTCCCCCCACGTGTGTTGTATAATCCTATGGGTTTAGTGCTCCCCCGTGATTATAATATCCAGGGAGAGAAGAGGATAGGTCCAGTACCTTGTATTAAGAGTCCCTTAACCCAATCAAGAAACAATGACAGGTTTAAAAAACAGATTATTAAGACATGTAATACAGTTAGCTCTCTTATAAAGCTGCTCTATATACTGTAATTTTTTTTGTGAATACAATTAAAAAAATACATCCAAACTTGAATAGCAACTGAAAAAAATCACACTATAGAAGAGCTTTATAAGAGAACTAACTGCAATCCTAATACTGAATAATGTACGACATACTTGAGCATCAGTGGCCTTATATTAATACAGTAATGTATGTATATAATTTTTGTATTATAATTTTATAAATATGGTGCACATTTATATCATTATCCTTGTATTTACACCTGAATATCTTAAATTTTTATATTTTAAATACATCTCTTTTTTTTTTAACACACTGGCCGTATCCCACAGAGGGAGGGTGACCTACAAAAAAAAAAGTATTTTCCTTTTACATTTAATAATTTCTAGGTAGTAGGTTGGTAGACAGCAACTGCCCAGGGAGGTATTACCGTTCTGCCAAATGAGTGTAAAACGGAAACCTGCAATTGTTTTACATGATGGTAGGATTGCTGGTGTCTTTATATCTCATAAACATGCAAGGTTTCAGGTATGTCTTGCTACTTATACTTAGGTCACACTACACATGCATGTACAAGCATATATATACAAACCCCTCTGGGTTTTCTTTTATTTTCTTCATAGTTCTTGTTTATTTCTGCTTATCTCCATGGGGAGGTGGAACAGAGTTTTTCCTCCGTATGCCATGCGTGTCATAAGAGGCGACTAAAATGCTGGGAGCAAGAGACTAGTAACCTCTTCTCCTGTATATATTACTAAATTTAAAAAAAAAACTTTTTTTCTTTTTGGGTCACCCTGCCTCGGTGGGATATGGCCGGTTTGTTGAAAGAAAAATTTAATAATTTATACAGGAAAAGGGGGTTACTAGCCATCTGCTCCCAGTATTTTAGGTACCTCTTATGACATTCATGCCTTACAGAGGAAGAATTCTTTTCCACTTCCCCATGGAGATAAAAGGAAATAAAGAACAAGGACTATTAAGACAAGAGAAGAAAACTCAGACGAGTGTGTGTACATGCATGTGTAGCGTGACTTAAGTGTAAGTAGAAGTAGCAAGATATACCTGTTATAATGCATATTTATGAGAGAAAAGAAACCAGCAATCCTACCATCATGACTCACGAAATCGTAATTGCAAACAAACCATACCTCGCCTGTGGTATGGTTTATCTTACCATCATGTAAAAAAAAAAATCAAAGATTTCCATTTCACACTCACCTGGCAGGACAGTAGTACCTTCTTGGGCAGTTGCTGTCTACCAACCTACTCCCTAAGATTTTATATATTTAAAAACTAAAACCTAAAATAGATATTTTTCTGATAATTTATAAAACTAAGATTAACACAGTGAAAAGACACAGGTGTTGACTAAGTTTTCCTGTGACATTTTGGTCTGTATAGCACTTCAGTCAGTATGAAAGATATAGGCACTTACCTGTAAACTGGAAGGTGAGGGGTGAGCAGGTGAGTTCTCTGCAGAGGCGAGCTAAAGTTGAAATTATGTGAATTGGAAGGAAGGTGGATAATGTAAGTAGCAGAGATATGGACGTGGCCTACTGGCTGGTGCAGCACGTACAGCGGCTGATTTTGCGTTGGATGACTGAGTTTCTGTTTATGTAGTATTGTGTGCATCAAGTGTTGTACTCAGTGGTGCCTTGAACACTTAATTAATGCTGCTTTCAAACAACTTGGAGTTTTATCCTTTTCCTTGAGGAGACATCCTTCCACAACATTAAATCTGTATGATTGTCTCTGTGAATTACACATGCATTGATGGTATTTTATCTCCAACATGCACACTAATGCTCCTGGATTTTGGTGCTAAGATTATGTACTTTCTGTCACATTCCCAACATAAGATGATGTACAGTCCTGCTTTTGTCATTCTGGTTAATGGGTCTCAATCTGTTAAGGTCTTTGATGGTACAAGATGTTACAATAACACTTTTACTACTTTCCTGAAAGACCTCTGTGGCAATGTCTGCTGTCTTCCTTGTGGGAAAGATGAGACATATCACAATCATTGTCTTCCTTGGGAGTATATAAAAAAAAGTTCTTTGGGCTTTGTTTTTACAGTTGTGGATGAAGCGAAAAGAAGTTGTTTCTAATAGTGTTACATTCTTCAGGAAATCCAGAAGGAATCCAATGCCATTAAGGTTATCTTCCAAACACTCAGGTTCCCTTAACACTTCATTTACAACTGCAAAAACAAAACCCAAGGAATTTTACTGATTAGGAAGTGAATGACTATGACGAACCCTTCAGCTTTCCCACAGAAAATAACATTGTTACACAGGCCCTTCAGAAAAGTGATTTGTTTTCATTTCTAGTACCATCAAAGACCTCCTTGGACTGGGATACAACAGCCAGAATGACAAACACATATGTATATATACCATCCCATGTGGGAAATGATATAAAAGAAGTATCTATGCAAAATCTGTAATTTAAGCATCACAATACACATACATGTGTGCATGTATAGCACACAATGCTGACAATGTCTTATTCACAGAGACAACATACATAATGTTGTAGGATTTCAAAACTGTCCTCAAAGAAAAAGAAAAAACTTGTATGTCTCTGGAGGTGGCATTAATTAGATCCCAAGATACCATCCAAGAGAAGTTTGGTTAAACCCATTAACTCTTAACCCTTAAACTGTCCAAACGTAGATCTATCTTTTTTCAACATTTGAAAGTATGTAAAAAAACTTTGATCTACGTTTTTTTTTTTTTGTTATATTTGAAAATATGTAAAAAAAACATAGATCTACTTTTGGAGCACTACGCATGTGAACGTAGATCTGCTTGGACAGTTTAAGGGTTAAATTGTCAAAGCAGATCTACGTTCACATGCGTAGTGCTCCAAAAGTAGATCTACGTTTCTTTTACATAGTTTCAAATATAACAAAAAAAAAAAAACGTAGATCAAAGTTGTTTTTTACACGTTTTCAAATGTAAAAAAAAAAGAAAGATCAACTTTTTTTATATACTTTCAAATGTTGAAAAAACGTAGATCTACGTTTGGACAGTTTAAGGGTTAATACACATAATATTACATGTACAAAGTCCACCAGTCATCACTTCCACTAAATTAGCTTGTGTGCATGCTGCACTAACCAGTAGGTCCTCCAGGGAAAGGACCTACTGGTTAGTGCATGGACCTACTGGTTAGTGCAGGGGACTCGCCTGCTAAACTCTCACCTTTAAATGGTTTATATGCATGTTCCTATGTTATTTGCATTAACTTTATAAAGCTCTACATAGAGACAAAGATGTCACAACAAAAAGGTTGCTCTACACCTGTATTTTCTTCAGTACACCTTTGCATTCAGAATAAAAATTTAAATTCTCATTATGTTTAACTGCTGACTAATTTTATAGCAAGGACACAACAGGAAATTAAAGACCTCTATTATTTTGATAATATAAAAATAAGAGCAAGTGTAGCTCAGTGTATAGCTTATTTATGTACAGCAGGTGTCATAAATATGCCTTTGACAGTTTTAAGAAGTGCCAGGCCAATTTTTGTATGGAAGATGGTACCCCAACAAAGATTGAGTGCATGATTGTGATATTGTTCATTAAATTTAATGACTGATAACTCAAAAAGGACTTACTACATCTGATAAATAACATATGGAACCTTGTTAAGCATAAGCTTCATGACATGGATGTGTCCACTATGTGTGGGAGGGTACTGACTTTTCTATCCTCCACAATGTGGCATTATCAGTACCCAAGAGACATAAGGAGTGCATCAAGAGAAAGGATAACCCTACAAAATACTTGGGAAGATAGTATCCCATATTGAAAACAATATGAAGAGCATGCTAATTATCTGTGTGAATGCATGTATATGACACATACTGTATATTACTGGCAGGGCCAGTGTAACCCAATAATCAACTGCTACTTACATGCAATAATACTGAACATACAGTGAAGAACTACAGTGGCTTTTTGGCACATGCTAGGCAGAGCCAACTCTTGTACCTGTGCAACCTATTTTTAAAGCTACCTAATAAACTGTTCAGCACCACTACTTGATGGCTCATTCCATCCATCTACAACTGTATTGCCAAGCAAGTCCTTTCCTATATCCTTTTTCAGTCTTAATTTATTCAAAGCCAAAACCAATCTGTCACTGCAAGTCCTATCTTTCTTAGATATTTTCAGCCATTTATTTATATCACTATTCCAATTTTCCATTCATACATTCAAGTCTATTCTCCATTATTCTATGTCTTTCCAAAGTGCAAATTCAGGGCCTTTAGACCATCTTCATAAGAAAGGTTTCTGATACAAGAAAACAACTTCTTCCTTCTGTGTTTTTCCCAGTGCATTTATGTCCATTCTGTAATATGGAGAGAAATGAGCTGTATAATCTAAATAAGGTCTTACTAATGATACTGTATATAAAGTATAACCTTAGGAACCTTTATTATTTATTCTTGATATAAAGCCAGGAATTCTATTAGCTTTATTACAAAGACTTAAACAACAAAGTATCTGTTTAGATTTCTGCTAACCAGAACTCCTTAGTCTTTTTTGCATTCAGTTTGATTAAGATGTGTTTAGTTTATTAGTGCTGTGGTTTTCTTTTCCAGGGATTACCTCACATTTACCCTCATTAAACCTCATCTGCCGCTTTTCTGATCACATCACCCTAACCAGATTATCGTGTAGCTCTCTTAGTGTTCTTTTAAATTGACAACCTATTTTATTGTCATTATTCCCTAATCTATGTCATGTATTTAGATTATGAACACAAAGGTGCCCAGCACTGACCCCAGTGAAACACAATGTGTAGTAGGGCACTAATTCTGATTTCTCCCTATTAATGCAAAAAATGTTGCCTATCTTTCAGTGATATTTTGATCCATTAGAGAATTTGTCCTATACTGTGTGACACCATCAGTCTCTAGTGTGAAACTCTATACTATTATAAAATGCCTAACCAGTGAGGGACTCTTGACCTAAGGATGTGGATCTGTGCTTCCCTTCCTTGGTCCAATAAAGCAAACCTACCCTCCTTTTCCTTTTATTCAATCTGATTCCCCCCCCCCCATTCCCCAGGTGCTCTATGACCCTTACAGGCTTAGGACTCCCTCAGGCACTGTATGACCCTTACAGTTTTAGTGACTTTGCCCTTGAACATAACAGTATCCAAGACTTTACTGAAGTGCATATTTTTGTTTGTTTGTTTAGTAATACATCGGCTGTTTCCCACCAAGGCAGGGTGGCCTGAAAAAGAAAAACTTTCACCATCATTCACTCCATCACTGACTTGCCAGAAGTGCACTTACACTACAGATATAAAACTTCAGAGTGCAGCCACTGTACTTCCCATCTCCAGGACTCGAGTCTGGCCTGCCGGTTTCCCTGAATCCCTTCATAAATATTACCCTGCTCACACTCCAACAGCATGCCAAGTCCTAAAAACCATTTGTCTCCATTAGCTACTAATATGCTCACGCATGCTTGCTAGAAGTCCAAGCCCCTCGCACACAAAACCTCCTTTACCCCCTCCCTACAACCTTTCCAAGGCCGACCTCTACCCTGCCTTCCCTCCACTACAGATTTATACCCTCTCAAAGTCATTCTATTTCGTTCCATCCTCTCTACCTGTCCGAACCACCTCAACAACACCTCCTCAGCCCTCTGGGTAATAGTTTTCATAATCCCGCACCTCCTCTTAATTTCCAAACTACAAATTCTCTGCATTATATTCACACCATGCATTGCCATCAGACACAACATCTCTACTGCCTCCAACCTCCTCCTCATTGCAACATTCACTACCCATGCCTTGCTTCCATATAAGAGCTTTGGTATAACTATACTCTCATACATTCCCCTCTTTGCTTCCCTGGACAAAGATTTTTGTCTCCACAGACTCCTCAGCGCACCAGTCACCTTTTTCCCCCTTGTCAATTCTATGATTCACCTCATCCTTCACAGACCCATCTGCTGACACGTCCACTCCTAAATATATGAACATATTCACGTCCTCCATACTCTCTCCCTCCAATCTGATATCCAATCTTTCATTACCTAATTTTTTTTTTATCCTCATCACCTTACTCTTTCCTATATTCACTTTTAATTTTCTTCTTTTACATACCCTACCAAACTCATCCACCAACCTCTGCAACTTCTCTTCAGAATCTCCCAAAAGCACAGTGTCATCAGCAAAGAGCAACTATGACAACTCCCATTTTGTGTTAGATTCTTTATCTTTTAACCCCAAACCTATTGCCAACACCTGAGCATTCACTTCTTTTACAACCCCATCTATAAATATATTGAACACCCATGGTGACATCACACATTCTTGTCTAAAGCCTACTTCTACTGGGAAATAATCTCCCTCTCTCTTACATGCTCTAACCTGAGCCTCACTATCCTTGTAAAAACTTTCTGACTGCTTTCATTAACCTACTTCCTATTCCATACATTTGCAACATCTGCCACACTGCCCACTATCCACCCTATCATATCGCCTTTTCCAAATCCATAAATGCCACAAAAACCTCTTTACCCTTATCTAAATATTGTTCACCTATATATTTCACTGTAAACACTTGGTCCACACACCCCCTACCCTTCCTAAAGCCTCCTTGTTCATTTGCTATCCTACTCTCCATCTTACTCTTAATTCTTTCATTAATAACTCTAACATACACTTTACCAGTTATACTCAACAATGTAGTCCCCTATAATTCTTGCACTCTCTTTTATCCCCTTTGCCTTTATACAAAGGAACTATGCATGCTCTCTGCCAATCCCTAGGTACCTTACCCTCTTCCATACATTTATTAAATAAAAGAACCAACCACTCCAAAACTATACCCTCACCTGCTTTTAACATTTCTATCTTTATCCCATCAATCCCAGCTGCCTTACCCCCTTTCATTCTACCCATTGCCTCATGAACTTCCCCCACACTCACAACTTGTTCTTCCTCACTCCTCAAGATGTTATTCCTCCTTGCCCTATACATGAAATTACAGCTTCCCTATCTTCATCAACATTTAACAATTCCTCAAAATATTCCCTCCATCTTCCTGATACTTCTAACTTTCCATTTAATAACTCTCCTCTCCTATTTTTAACTATAAAATCCATTCGTTCCCTAGGCTTCCTCAACTTATTAATCTCACTCCAAAACTTTTTTTTATTTTCAAGAAAATTTGTTGTTAACATCTCACCCACTCTCTCATTTGCTCTCTTTTTACACTGCTTCACCACTCTCTTAACCTCTCTTTTCCTCTCCATATCTCTTCCCTCCCTGCATCACTTCTACTTTGTAAAAACCTTTCATATGCTAACTTTTTCTCTCTCACTACTCTCTCTACATCAATCGCTCTTCTTCCCTCCCACACCCATTTTCCTGTAACCACAAACTTCTGCTGAACAGTCTAACACTACATTCTTAAACCTACACTATACATCTTCAACTCCATTGCCTATACTCTCACTAGCCCATCTATTCTCCAACAGTTGTTAATATCTTACCCTATCTGCCTCATCCTTTAGCTTATACACCTTCACCTCTCTCTTACCTGCTGCTTCCATTTTCCTTGTATCCCATCTACCTTTTACTCTCACTGTAACTACAACTAAAAAGTGATCTGATAAATCTGTGGCCCCTCTATAAATATGTACATCTTGAAGTCTACCCAACAGTCTTTTATCTACCAATACACAGTCCAACAAACTACTGTTGTTATGCCCTACATCTTATCTTATATACTTATTTATCCTCTTTTTCTTAAAGTATGAATTACCTATAACCAAACCCCTTTCATTTACACTATCATATTCTTTATCCATGGTTTGCCGCACTAATAAAATACTTTAGTGAAAAAAGGGGTTTGTAAATTTGGAAGGCAAGAATGCTCCTTTGTCAGCATGCTGAGATTTATTAGTTAAAATATATCTTTCAAGGTGACTGTAAACTGCATCCACAACCAGACTTATATCAATAATTGCTCGATCTTAAGTTATCCCTGAATCTCATACCCTTGACCCCCTGTTCCTCAATGTACACAACTTTCAAATCCACCCCCTGTATTTCAATGTACACAACTTCCAAATCCTTATGTGATAGAGGAGCTGTAGCTAAGCTCCTTCAAAAGATTTAGAGCTTTAAGCCAACATATTTATGAAATCTTTAACACCTACAAAAGGCATAGGCAGTAAAAAAAAAAAGTAAACTTTAATTCTGCTCAAAAGTTAATTTCAATGGCAGTATGTGTCATGTTTGACATCCAACCAGTTTTGACTTTACATTTTGATGGCAACTAGTGCTAAAAATCCTGAATTACCAAGATATGTACTAGCAAATGGAGAAGGGCAGTCTTGTGTCAAAGAACCAGACCTCAAGACTTCAAGTTGTATTTACATTGCCTCATTACCTTTTTCAATGAGGTCATCTCTGACAAGGTCTGCATCACTGATGCTGTCCATTTCAGCAAAGAAAAGATCATGACTCTGCATTTTGATTTTAAGGTCATCTGAGCTCCTGTCTCTGGAAACCACTTTCCATTCATTACAACCAATCACTTCACTCAAATTCAGACAATTTTAAATTTCTCATTTACCTTCCCATGAATTAGAATCTGTCTCTTTGCAGTGCTTGACTCTTTTAAGACATGGCAGTGCTTCTCAAACATTATTGAGGAATAGTACAAGAATGGTATACAATACCAACATGTGTCTAATTCTTCATTATTGAGGAAGTTTTGTTAGCAAGCTGTAACAAGCCACCCAAAATTCCCTGAGTAGCCACACAGCTGCAACCCATTTTAATGGCTTTATGCTCAGTCTAGACCTTCATATACTGATAGAAACACCATAAAGGTGGTTTCCTTGTTAATTTCTCAAAGCACTTAATATACTATTATCAATTTGCATATTAGTGCCATGTCTACCATTGTATACAATATTTATGCATATTTTTTCTTTTAATATTATAATTTCTCAAATGTATTTATTGCATATGACAAATTTTAATATTTTAACTTTTAAAAGAATATGGGAATTATTTGTTAGCATCATATGGTGTTGGAACTGCTAGATAAATTAATGCAACAGGGGGCAAAATATACAAGTCCAGAAAACTTGTACTATTTCTGTTTGTATGAAGTTTCAGGAAATTGTGCAGTGTTGTCGAGTTACTATTGCTGCTTATAGTCATATGCTCATTAGCAACATAATGCAAGTATGATTTATTATTATTACTGGTTAATGAGGAACCTATGATGTTTGTTACAGTTAAGTTTGCCAAATCATACTATGTTTTTATGGTAGTTGCCACATATCTATATGCAGTATTTTTAAAATAATGAAAACAGTGCCTTAATATTTACATCTGACACTTTTCATGGTGCCTTTGGGACACAGTAGACAACCACCTTTAGCATGAGATATGTTCCAGAAAAATGGAGCTATATGTGAAAATGAGATGGCTGGAGTGAACAACTTACAGGAAAAATTAGGTTATGTGTCATGACACCTCGAAAAAAACCCATTCAAGTTTTTTCAATTCTTAAATTATCAATATTATTATTAATGTTTTTGACAATTTACATTGTAGATGTTGTTTCTTGTTGATTAAAAAACGTGTGGAGAGGTTTCATGCTGCTCTACAAGGCCTAGTTGCATGTAGTGAGGTTTAAACCCTCCAAAATGTGTACAGTGTTTGACCTAAATGGGATATTCAGAGTTATCCGTTTATACAGTGGGTCAGGCTCCTGGCTACTGCTGCAAAGCAAAAATTGCTGTAAAGTGAAACAGCATATTTTTTACCTATCAAATGCATGTAAAAACCTGAAAACACGTTTATACTATTATATATTATGTGAGCAATAGAGCTAGGCCTAAAAAATGCACATACAGCACACACGTTAAAATATTTTCGCCCTTAGCTTATAGTGAGTGGTGAATATATTTATTGTAGGAAGTCTGAATAAATGATGAATGGGTATAATTAAAAACTGCTGCATTAGTGAAACCCTGTAAAGCAGGACCTTCCTGTACCCATAATGTATGTGCCATCAAGACTATTGTAAAAAAAAAAAAATTGTAGAATTTGTACCCAAAACTTGTTAAATAAATGTGTTAACCCTCTGAGGGTTGAAACCCCCAATCCTTAACTCACTCTCAGGGTCGAAAAATTTTCAAAAAAAAAAAAAAAAAATAAAATAGATATATAATGATATAGAGATATAAAGATATAATGATAGAGAATATTCTCCCGATGGTAATGACACCAAAAATATGAAATTTGATGGAAAACTCACAAAATTATACTCTCACGAAGTTAGCGATATCAGCGATATTTATGCATAGGCGATTTCGCTCACTTTGGGCCCTATTTTTGGCAAATTCCATTGTTCCAGTCGACTACAATCATAGCTATTTTGCAAGAACTCCATTTATTCTATCGACTGAGTACAAAAAACTGCCCATTTACTGATTTCAACTACCCAGTAAAGTGGTCAGAAATTGGCAATTTGGCCAATTTCAACCAAATTTCAAAAGATGCAAATTTCAAAATAGGGTCCAGAATAAACAAGACAGATATTCCTGGCACTAAAGTAACATTTTCTCTGTTCATTAGTCATGCCCCTCTTATATTATTCTTGCTTTCCATTTTGAATTTTTATTCTCACAAAAAATAGAAGATTTACTGTTATGCATACTGCATTATTGTAAAAATGGTATAAATAATACCAGCACACTTGTGAAAGAATATTAGACTCACCAGCTGATGTGTATTGGACACATGGCGTGATTTATTTACTCTTAAACATCAGCAAAAATTAACATTTCTGCTACTTTGAGCTCAATTGTACGGTACTTTTCATGGTGAAACCAATCAATATCATCTCTACTCCTGTAATATATCTTCCATTCTATCAAATGAGACCAAGAAAATGAGAATACAACCATAAATACCATACGAAAATACACTGCAAAGTCTCTGTTTTAAATAAAAAACACAGTCGTTTTTTTTTTTCCCATTATGCACTGTGTGCTGCAGGATTTTTTTATATTGTGCACACTGACTATGCAGACCCATTCCTTCATATGTAGGCCTACCAGCTTTCTTCCACCAGATTTGAAGGCGCTTGAATTTTGGTGTATAAATACAGGACCGACACTGGCTATCAAGCTATATATATACGGTACCGATCCTGAAAGGGTTAAATAAGCATGTGCTGGACATGTTAGAGTGAACCTATTTTCTATGGGGCTATTATTTCTTATATTATTTTTTTAAAAACATTCAGACTTTCCCTCTTGGCACATCCAATATTACTACTATTCCTCTTTATGCCATGGTTAATATCCAGAGACAAATAGGGTGATTAAAAAGATGAGTGTAGAGTAAGGCAGTGGTGGGGTTGTGCTAGCCACCCTACTTCATTGCTCAGAGCTCAGTGTCTCTTGAGACAGCATCCAATGAATATGTCCTTGTAGCCACTTATTTTCTTAGGTGGAGGCACAAAAGGTGGTGGTCTACTGTATTTTTAATTAAATTTAAGTTTTAAGCGAATAGTTCATCAAAAGTATAGTATTACTTTCATCATAGGTTGTGTCAGATAATGTCTTTCCATTAGCTTTGCAAACAATATCAGAGTTAAATTTTTGTAGTACAGCATTTTAAATGTTATTACCAGTATGAGAAAATTAAACTTATGCTCAATTTTACCAAGTTTAACGAGGTAATAAAAGTAAAATTGGCTCTACCTTTAATCTAATTGTAATATCATTTCACAGAATAATTGCTTGCATAATTAATTACACTTTTGTAAATGACAGACACACAAGCTGAAGTAACTGGAAACTTTATGTAGATGTTTCCCCTGAGCAACAGGCCTTTTTAAGATTAGCATGTTATATAGGCAGAAGAGAGTCTGGTGCAGTGGAAAGGAGTAGTAGTGATAAATATAAAATGTTTTGAATCACACTCATCACAACTAGTGACAATTACTGAGAGATGAGGAAGCTTTCATTTGGGTAAACCCTTGCAATACAGTTAGTCAACAAAGAATACTGTCATGAACTATGCACTACTCAGCATACTGATAATGTCACTACTACAGTACTAACAATTTCACCGGACTCTTCTACCTACATAACATGTTACCTTGAAAAAGCGTCCTGCACAGGAGCAAAACATTGTGTAAATAAAGTTTCCAGATACACTTCAACCTGTACCCCTATCATTTACAAATACATATTCAGTATTCTCAGATTGTCTCACAACATTTGCACTTTCTGTCTTCTAATGTCTTCCTTTTATCAAACTATGCTAGCACAGATGTTAGATAATCCACAGTCATCCTGTGGTTTATAGTATGTAGTATCTCTTATTTTATATTGCTCATATTTTAGAATATGTGATACCTGAAAAAGTTGTATGATAGAAAACTATAGTATTTTACTATCACATGATTCCCAAATGAGATTATAGTATGAGTTAATTTGGTTTACCCTAGTCATGTAGACTTTGTAGACATTTTTATACTTACAGCATATAAAAAGAATTGCATGTTGGTACACCTCAGAAATAATCCTGGTGTTCCCCCATCAGTGACCTTGGTGTAGGCAATATTTTTTGTGAGGTGATTTATATAACTTTTAAAAAATTATGTATTTTTATAACAAAACTTGAAAAAAATAAAGTATACAATTAATAAAAATGGTTTATTTTTTCAATATCGCCACCCTGCACACGCCTTTATCTGTCACTCAGCACTACTATACGAGTCATTCAAGTTTATCAATAACGGTTCACTATGGCCATTGCCCTGAGCAGAGATTTCATTACTCAAGACACCATCATACCTGTGTGAGGAAGTGCTGCATGAAAAAGGTCCATAATTCAGCATTTTTATGCAGCACTATCAACTGTGTACATGTATATAGGCACTGCATGAAAAATATGCATAACTAGGCATTTTTATGTGAGTTATGGAAAGACATCAGAGAACTGTAATAGTAGTAGCTACAACAGTTAATCAATTAGAAAACAGTGATGATCAAGTGTATTGGCATTTGCTTACCAGCTGCACAAATGCACAGGCATGCAACTTAGAGGGAACACTTCTGTAAGGGTCATACAGTGCCTGGAAAATGGGAGGTAATCAAGTTTGATCCAAGGAAAGAGAGGGTATCTCCAATTCATGGATAAAAGAGTCTTCCACTAGGCAGTATTCCCAGATGTGATGCTAACACTGTTGTTGCAAAGGTTTGCCCAAATATAAAATAAAGAGATAGTACAGTGGAACCTCGGTTTTCGTCGCTAATTTGTTCCAGAAAGTCACGAAAACTGAAGCAATATTTCCCATAAGAAATAATGTAAATCCAATTAATCCATTCCAGACACCCAAAAGTATTAACAAAAAATACATTTTATAGAGAATAACTATAGTTTTACATACAGAAAACAATGAGGAATAGATATAAAGGACTAATGAAATGGATAAATGAACATTTAATATCACATTTACCCCTACTGAAGACTCTTGTTGGTATATGGAAGGTGAGGAGGGGAGATGGATGAGGAGAGGTTATTGGTTGGAAGGGGAATCATCCCCTCCATAAGGACTTCAGGTATCAAGTCCCTATCCAGGGTTACTTCCCTTCTTTGTCTTTTACTAGTACTGGACTCCTGTAGCACAAAAAATCTGCCCAGAGAGGTCTGTTTCTGGTGTCTTTAAGATTTGCCTAAAATGGGACAAGGCATTGTCATTGAACACGTTGCAGACACGGTTTGCAACTGCATTGTTAAGATGATATTTCTCCACAAAACTTTGCAACTCACTCCACTTTGCACACATGTCCTTAATCACTAAAGAAGGCACACTCTCCTCTCTCTCTTCCTCCTCCTCTGAGGCAATTTCCTCAGCTGCGATCTATTGCTATTCCAGATGAAGGTCTTGCAGCTCTTCAGTACCTAGCTCTTCCCTGTGATCCTCCACCAACTCTTCAACATCCTGGCCACTCACATCCAACCCCATGGACTTCCCCAAAGCCACAATGGATTCCACAACAGGCGTACAGTTGTCAGGGTCGGCCCCAAACCCCTCAAAATCTTTCTCTTGGACACATTCTGGCCACAATTTTCTCCAAGGTTTATGCAATTGAGGATATTGAAGTGATTCCTCCAGAACTCTCTCAGGGTCAATTCAGTGTCTGAGGTCACTTCAAGCCACCTCTGAAACATTGCTTTGGTGTAGAGCTTTCTGAAGTTTAAAATGACCTGCTGGTCCAAGGGCTGGATGAGAGGAGTGGTATTAGGGGGCAAGAACTTCACTGTGATGAAACTAAACTCCTCCAATAACTGGTCTTCCAAGTCTGGAGGATGAGCAGGAGCACTGTCCATTACCAGGAGGCACTTGAGTGGCAATTTATTTTCCAGGAGGTATTTCTTTACACTTGAGCCAAACACTTCACTGACCCACTCAATGAAAATTTGCCTCGTGACCCATATCTTATTGTTGGCCTTCCACATCACACACAATTTACTCTTGGTGACATTGTTATTCTTGAACACTCAGGGATTTTCAGAGTGATACACCAGTAAAGGCTTCACTTTGAAATCTCCACTAGTGTTACCACAGAACAAAAGAGTTACCCTATCCTTCAGAGGCTTGTGTCGTGGCAGTGCCTTGTCCTCCCATGTGATGTAGGTCCTCTTTGGCATTTTCTTCCAAAAGAGGCCTGTTCGTCACAATTGAAGACTTGTTAGGGGAGGAATCCTTCAGCTCCTATGTACTCCTTGAATTCATCAATGAATTCTTCGCCCGCACATTTGTCCAAACTTGCAGCCTCACAATGCCTTAACACACTGTGTATGCCAGATTGCTTCTTGAATTTGTCGACCAGCCTCTGCTGGCCTTAAATTCACTAACAGCAGCACTCATTCCAGGCATTTTCTTTATGAGATCCGCATGCAACTGCCTTGGCTTTTCACAAATTATCGCCTCCACAACACTATCTCCTGCTAACTGTTTTTCGTTGATCCACACCAACAACAACTTCTCAACATCTTCGACTGTTTGCGATGTCTGTTTTGTTAGCACATTTACCCCTTTTGCAACAT